CCACCCACCTCGGCCTCCCAAAGTGCTAGGATTACAGGCTTGAGCCACCGCGCCTGGCCCTACAACCACATTCTTAAAATCCACTAGAAGATAAGCTCCCTGAGGGCAGGCACTCTACTGTTTTCCACTGCCATATAACCAGTCTAGAAGAGAGCCTAGCACAGAGTAGGCACTTAATATATATTCACTGAATGGGGGAAAAAAGAGGAAATAATAGAAGAAAAACAAAGCACTAATATGGAATAAAAGTTATAAAAGTAGAAACATGAGCATAAAAGCAGACAGAATGTAGTTTATGTTGTAGTAGAATGTTCAAGGGACTCTGTGGACAAGTTATATTCCTGGTTCTCAGAGGCATCTAAACAAGTCATAACTTTTTATAGTTTGGTTTTTCAATCTATAAAATATCTCTTCCTTCATGCTTTAAAAGGATACTGTGAAGAGTTGTTAAAAGGAAGAGGGAAGGAATAAGAACACAGATGTATGGTTTGGAACATAATTTTCTGGAGTACAGAAATGCTGAGGACCAAAACCAGAGACACTGGCATCAAGCACGCTAAAGAAAAAAAGAGGAAGAGATCAAGAAGAAGGCAAAAATTTGATTTAATTGTGTCATTAAGAAACTGGTATACTGGTCATTGGCTAGACTGTTTTTTCTATGTTTGGAATATATGAAAGTGCCATTCAGCATTAAAATGCAATAAATAAAGTTAAAAGTTAAATAAAGATTGTTGAAATTATTTTGATATCTTAGGATGGAATGAAATTCTGACATATAAAGCTAAAATGGCATAATTACAAAAATGAAAAAGATTCAACATGTAATTGGGAAGGTAGGAAGGAAAGGAGAGAAGACCGAGTTGGATATCACAAAGGAATAGAGAAGAAAAATCAAAATGGGCTATGAAGAAAAGAGGTGAGCCATAGAGCCATCTCTTCTATATTAGGGAAGAACTCACCCTAAGTAACCTATGCCGTTTTCAGAAACAACTTGAACACTGTATAGATGATCAAATAATAAGGGAAAAGACCACCATGATTGAAAATTTAATAAGAGCAAAACAGGAAGGCAAGAAAAAAATTTAATTTTAATAATATGCACTACACACACACCTAAACAGTGGTCCCATTTAAAGTACTTCCCTAATTCACAGTCAGATGCTACGTTAGTCTCTAGCTTCAACTCTCTGCAATAAGGATACGATGATAGAAGAAAACAGTGGTGTGTGTGTGTGTGTGTGTGTGTGAATTCTGAACGACAGAGACATTATTTTCTAATACTTTGGATTTTGCCACATTTTTCAGAGTTTAGCGTATTTTAATTAAGGAATTCACTAGGCATTTCTGAGCCTGGATTTCTTCATTGGTAAATTTATAAAAGTATTCAGTTCCACTCAAAGATCTTTCAGTATCTTTCAGTTTTTAGTGTTTTAGGCTGGAAACGACTACAATTAAAGTGGGGAGAAGTTATTTGAAATCACCGTTCTGAAATACCTACAAACATAGTTACCAAGAACTAGAAGAAAGATCCATTAGAATTTAAATGAATGGAATTTTTAAACAGAAGGAAAGAAATCCTATGGTATATTCAATTCATCATGTTGATCTTTTGCAAATGGTTACTGATTCTTATTGTCATTGTGGTAAAAATGGTTTGTCATACAACCCCTTAATAAGACTTAAGACAAAGCAAAACGAAGTTGGCCCAAGATGAAAATACCAACACATTCTTGCATCCAAGAATCTGTTGTCAAGCAGGGAGGATCTCACATCCAGAAAACATTTTCTTTCAAGATGGTCCACTGTTTCCTGGCTGAGATTTAATTAATCAATTAATCAGCTCTTTTTATAATAATCTATGTTTGCAATCTCACAACAGTCAGGGTAGGAAAAATTTGAAAGCCTAGGCAAAGAAAACAAATGAATGGTGCAAGTATTGTGTGACTCACTGAAAAGCAAAAACTTAATTAGTGTCATGACAATATAATCATTGTGGTAGTGGGAAATCATTAGCCATATTTAGAAATACTTTAGAATAAAAAATATATACTTATATACTTTCATTCTAGTTCTGCCTTGGACTTCTTAACCTACATGAATTTATGAACTAATATAATGAAAATATGAAATTATATTACTTTATGAAAGAAATACCCATTTTAGAAAATCCGACATAGCTAATGTACCTAAAGGCAATTTAAAATGTCATATTTTGCTTTTTATTATAATAAAGATAAAGAATGTTGTAATTTGACAAGAGTCAGTGAGGGGGTAATTCTAGTATTTATAAAATAAAACTCTAATACTAGTAGGTAGATTGGTTTGAGGAGCAACGCTGCAGACACAATTACTGGGATTGTCTCTCTTCTACTCTCTCAGGCTCCAGGATAAAGAAGAATCAATTAGCCCTCAACAGTCTATGACCTTGAAGGCCACAGCTCTGTGCATAATGCGCTGAATATGCTGAGACAGAAAAAAAAATGGAAAAGGGAGAATAAAGTCCTAAAATCACTGAAGAGCATGTTTCACATATGATAATGTCATTTTCAAATATAAGCCATGACAGCTTAGTTTATGTCAAAAACATGCATGGTAAAAGGAACGTCCCAGTTCTTTCTGTGACTAAACAATACTTTCTTAGTTGGAAAATGCAATCCCTTTGTAAGCTTTTTTTTTTTCTTTTCATTAATTAATGGTTACAATCTTTTTAAACAACAACAAAAACCACCACTCACAAGTCTTTAAAAACAAAGCTGCCTGAACCAAACCCTTTCAAACACTACTTTCCTCCCAATCCCCCCCTCCAACCAAAAAAAAGTAGGCTCACAATTTTGGGGATACTAGACTTGATTTTTTTAAAAGACTAGTCCAAAAATTAACAGAGTTTCCTTACAGGTTGTAAAGTGTTAACCAACTAACTGTCTGCTAACTTTTCCGGAGAAAACTACTTCCCAGACTGCTTCTCTAGGCTTATCTCTGATGCATTTCAAAACACTGCAGCTGTGCATCTGGTCAAACTGGCCACAAAGATGCTTTTAGGCAGCAGTAAATCTTTCCCACTTATTGCAAATGCCACAATATCAATGCCCTGGCTTGGGGAAAAGAAACTGATGTGGAATAAGTAATCTACGAAAACACTTAGTAGAAAAATTTACCTTACAAAATAATTTCTCAAAACTTCACAACATACTTTCTGACATGGTCTCAGATCAGGAAAATGTGCTGGATGTTTCTTTGTTTGCCTGATTTCCTCAGTGAACAAAATTATAGAATTTAGTTGAAGTGTTTTTCAAAGGGAATTTTTTTCTTTTGCTGGGCAATGAAACCTGTTCAAGCAGGTTTCAATTAAAGACTTAAGTTTAAAATGATCAAGTAACCTTGTCCTCCTGGTGAATTTCACTTCGCTTTGCAGGAACTGTACTTGCTTTTTATAGCTTGTCATTTCATCTGGGTATTATTTCCCGGTCACTTTGCCAGGTGGGAAGAGGCAGCAAAGGCCGCAATGTCTGTCAGACCTTTAATGATGCTTCAGGGATTTGATAAAGATACAAAGCAGTGTCTATATGAAGGTGGTTCTCCCTGACTTCACCTAGAAAAAAGCCTCTTTTTTTTTTTTTTTTTTTTTTTTTTTTTTTTTTTTTTTTTTTTTTTTTTTTTTTTTTTTAATCTGGTGTAAGTGAAATGATTGGGAATCACAAGGACAAATCAAGTTTTTCTCTATTTCTATAGCATGCTGCACTACTTCATACTGAACATGATGTCTGGAAAAGGTATTCTTTATTCTTCGTTATTGTCCAGAGGAAAAACATAAGAGGCATTTCAACAGAGAAATTGTCAACTCTCTTTTAACCCTAAGAGCTTTCATGCAAGTTATTAAGAAACAAATTTTCTGATCTTGTACTTTTTTAAGTAAATATTCATTATGGTAAAAAGTGATAGGAGACAGAGACAACAAAAATAAACTAGAAGCATTTATAAAAGGCTAGAGAAAACTCCTCCCTCCTATATTGATGTTTAGAACAGTCATGTTTTCATTCCTGTCAACTTTCCACTCTAAAGCTATTGCAATTACCCAGTGCAAAGAGGAATGTATTGTTTTTAAGAGAGTGGGCTCTCTACACATCACAGGTTATTAAACCAGGCTGCTGCAATCTGCCAGCCTAAGATGACACATGTCTAAAAAAAAAAAAAAAAAAAAAAAGAGGATGTACCTCACTAATGGATCTTGTACTTTTTAATGAGTGCCAAGGAAGCTATTTAAACATTTGATTATAGAGGACAAAACTAATTTGGGAAAATCTTTCATGTAGAATCCTACTGTGTCCTGAACAAAATAAAGCTGCCACTAATCAGTGGTCACTACCCGAAAGTACAATCTGGGCAGGACAGCAGTTCTGCTAGTGAGAGGCGACCAGCGTAAATGTCTTAAGACTTGCTGTAATCTCAGAAAGAATCAATTAAGATACAAGAGTAGGGAGAAGTGGTTAGCGAGCAGGAAGAAGAGAGAAAGATGAGGCAGCTTGGGGTCACTGTGAAACAGAGGGTAACGTAAAGGTGATAGGAAATCTATGATGGGGAAGAGAAAGACACAAAATATTACTCACTGGTGTATGAAAATCACATTTCTGTAAGACATAAAAGAAGACCTGATGTTTTCATTTTAAAATGTGTTAGAAATAAATTGAATTTAACTTAAATTCAAGCATGACTTGCAGATGCTGAAGTTTTGAGTTGCCGGGACCAGACTGAACAATGTTACTAGAGACAGCCGCTGTTACAGCACTGGTTCAGAACCAGAGTTAGCAAGATCGTTTTACTCAACCCTTCAAGGCCCTCCCAAGCATTATCTCAAACTCCTGCTTTGCTTAAACAACACCAGGCAACTAAAATGCAGGAAGAAAGGGAAACAGCCTCTAGACGACACCTTTTGGGACCTCAAACCCACCCGTTTACTTTATTCAACATCATCATCATCATCATCATCCATCTCTCTTACTTACAAAGTTTAGGAGCAGTTTGGAGATTAGTTTCTGTTGTTTGTGGCTGAGTTGCTGACTTGGGTGTTCTCACCTCAGGGTTCCGGGTGGGTGCAGGGAAGGATGGTGCAGTGGAAGGCAAGAAAGAAAAGGCAAAAATACGATTCTTCGGTGTTGATGCCACTGACGGTTCAGAGGAGACAACAGCCTTGTCAATTTGCACTGTAACTTGAACCTTACTTTCAGATTGAGCCCTAGAGACAGGTGAAGTGTATGCCTCCGACGACACCCACACAGCTGAGGCAGCAGTTGGGTCCAGAGAAATAATAGGGTCCTGGCCTAACCCCCCCGGGTCAAGGTGAGTAGGAGAGTCATACTCAAAGATCTTGTCCACGAATACCCACTTGAGGCCGGCGATGCAGAGGCAGAGGCTGACCAGGCAAGCCAGGATGGGGACAATGCAGATTTTCTCTGAGTTCAGGCAACCTCTCAGGCGCTCAGCTTCCAGGCACACACAGCAGGACACAGCCAGGCCCACAAGTCCAGGGGTTCTCCCATCTTCAGTCTGGGGTTCTGGCATGTCTTCTGCTGCCGGAAGCCCATCAAGAGATGGGTCTGCGCTCAGCTGAGTGGAGGGGCTGGAGGACCTCTCGGCGGCGACCTCAGACATGTCTGGGGAATAAATCTCCATGGGCTCACCTCCAGAAGAAGGCCTGGCCGCTCTCACGGTCCATTACCACGCAGAGGCCCCCCCAACCAAATGATACAGCATCTTACAGGGGGAAATCGATAAACTGTCCAAGTCCAAGGCCATTATAAAAATCAAGAAGAGTTTGGGAAGATGCAAGGGGGGAAGAAAAGCTCTCAGCAACTACAAAATCAAAGTATATCTTAATAGTTCTCTAAGCTGCTGTTTCTGAGCCACTTTTCGAGTTCTTTTAAATGCTTCTCCAAACCATCCCGGGCTGGTCAAGAGGACAGGGACCAAAATAGATCGACGGAGCTGCCCGCTGGTGAATTAAGTAAACCAGTAGCCCAAACTGAAAGGCATGTTTCTCACCTCGAGCATCTGAAGCTGGTGTCTGCTCAGATGAAGAAAACAACTGTCATGCAGGAGAAGTAACAGCAGGAGGAGGACCAGCGGCGGCGGCGGCAGCAGCGGCGGCGGCAGGAGAGGCAGCAGTGACAATAGCAACAGCATCCTGTTGTGTTAGCGCGACGACGGCTGAAAGGGGCTGAATCATTACAGAGCAGCAGGTGCCTGCCCTCGGAGCATCACTGCAAACACCAAGGGCTGGGGAGGCAAGAGTGCGGCCAGGAGGGGCGGTCACTCCCTTCCCCGCCCTGCCTCCACCCACCCCCGGCTACTCCTCTTTGTCCTTCTTGAGTGCTCATTCACTTTCTTCCTCTGCGGCTCTTCTCTGCTTCAGTCTCTTTCTCTTTCTTTCCCCTCTTCATCCAAGCCCGTCCTCTCTCCTCTCTCTTTCCTCCCCCTCTCCCAACCCCCACTCTTCACTTTCTATCCACTCTAGAGCTGCAGGCTGGTCTGAGTAAAATCAGTATCCCAGCCGTACAGGACCGCCACTGACTTCCTATTTTATCCAATTAGAAGGAATAAAGGCCATCAAATCAAAGAGAGGCAGGCAGGCATCAGTTAAGCCTAGTCCCCATGGCCCCCACCCGTTTTCTTCTCTTTTTCTTTCTTTCTCTACAAAAGTGGTCCCAGTCTTCTTCCACCCCCACCTTGCCGGCTTTCAGGCTCTTTCCTTCACCCACTGTTGGGTTAGAAAAAGCCAGCGATCGATTCTAGCAATCTAACAAAGCTGGGATGGGGAGGGGGGGTGGGGGGGGGTGTAGGTGGGACCTTCTGGGTTGGACCTGGGGCTTGGCGAAGTCTGATATCTGATTCCTCCCTAGAGAGGTAAGCTTTTCAACAGCAATTTCTTCCTGCCTGCTGCTGAGAGATAGCATTCCTTCTCTAGCCCTCTAATAAGTTTTGTTCACTAAGAGGACTGTTATTACCTGGTTTTCAACCAACAGTTCAAACATTTTTTTTTCCCTAACCATGGACAGCTCTGCCTTTTAGCCCTTTTTGCAATGACTATGTAAGACTTTGTCATGCCCAGGGAGAAATGCTGAGTACGTCTGGAGGGGGTGCTAGGGGAGCGGGTGGCAGCCCATATATCCTCTGCTGGGGTCCCCTTTGAATTTCCATTTCTTCTGTCTCACCCAAAGCAGACTAATGTCAAGCTAACTGATGTCAAGCTAATAGAAAGCACCGGTAAGTAGCAGAGTTACGATGGGAGCAAAGCTACCACTTCATTTTTAGATTAGCCTTTCATGGTGACTCCACACTGCAGAGGTTTGAATTCCCTGGCACTGTAATACATACCACATGTCCTCAATTATCACCGCACTGCAAGTACTAAGAAGAGTTTTCTATGAGAGCATGCCTTCTGGGTTAGGTTTCAGGAGCTTTACCTTCCAGATAGTTTCAATGCTGATTTTTTTTTTCTTTTAAAACAACAGTCATTAAAACACCAGAAGAAATGCACTGTCCTTAATAGAGACCACAGGCTTCCCCAAGCACTCTGCTGCTTGTCACTGTACACAATATGCATCTGAACCTGAAATCCACACTTACTGTGACTGCACATCTAAACGGTTTCCAAGGAACCATTTTGTTCACCTATATCAATAGGGGTCTTTAAAACTCTCTCTAAATCTATACTACAGAGCCATCATATGGGTCCCTGAAGCAGTAAAATTTAGAACTCAAGTCCCAGGAAAATCCACTTTAAGCACATTATATTTTGTAGGGCACAATCTCCGCTGCTTTGAAGTATATTTCAGCTGTAAATGGCAGGAGATAAGAATATTATCACTTCTTCCTTTAAGATGAAATTAGTCCAAAATTATCAATGATTTAAAGGGTTTTAACATCTTAAACTGTGTTTGCAGTACTATCACTAACAACAAAAGCCTGCACCAATTTGCATAATTGTAACCATGGCTATGACAAGTTTATAGGCAACATGAGTTATCCTTAATTTCATCTCTCTATAACCTGCATTTACATACCAGTAAATGGTGTTTTAAAATAATTCCTGTGTTTATCTTCTAGGCTTATTTGATTTTAAAGCAGTGAGAACTCTCTTACAAAGATTCTAGCAAAGGATATACAATTTCAGTGTAGAAAATGTCTGTAGAAGCATTTAAAGTATTCAAACTGAAAGATAGTAAGATTTCAATGATCAATATTCATGTAAATATTAAAAAAACAATATCAGCAGGTGTTTAGGCTAAACCAGGGTAATTTATAATTCCTTCCAAAAGCACCCAGTTGAAATATATGGCACTGAAGTCCTCAGTTTTGACCCAAACCAAAAATATTATACTCAATACACTGGCATTTCATCCAAGGCCAAGGTAACCTAAATTTCAAAGATCAAAATGGGGTTCATGTGGCCCCAAGTCAGGCAGATATGAGAAAATACCAAGAATGATAACCCATAGTTTAGAAAAGTGGTCTTTATTTTGCACCAATAGCAATTATTCACCTTACCTCAATCATTAAGAGCAAACATATTCAGCAGACCAAAAAAAAAAAAAAAAAAAAAAAATGTTACTGGGCACTGTTATAGCTGTTACACTGAAAATGCCTGACACCTGTAAAGAAAGCCAACATTTTATACAAAGACTAGGGCAAAACATCAGAGAGAGAATCCTATGGACTGCCACAAGTACTCTTTCCCTTGGACTACATAAACGAGACTTTGGGATGCGTCTGTTTTCCACCTGGAAAAAGATTCCAGGAAATCTGTGGCACCCTGGTGCTAAGATTAGTCGCAGACAGCCAGCTTCCTATAAAATTATTATTTTTTTCCCACGAAATTAAAAAATGAACGTAACTGGGGAAAGAGAGAAGCATGGGAGGTAAAGAATAAAAGGAATTCTCCTTTCATTCTACCCTTGGGACTAGGACCCGAAGTTGCCTTTCTCCCTTATCAAATCCCCTATAGCAATAAAAGAGTGAGAAAGGAAAGTGTGAATGGGGTCAGAGGTAAGAATTTCCTTTGGATAAAACCTGCATGTTTGTAGGAAGAACTGCAAGGATACATCGTTTAAACACTTTAAGCTCCGCCCCAATAAAGCCCAGGAACACCCCCATTTCCATATCCTCTTAGAAAAATGAACTAGACAAATTTTTACTACCTTTTAAAACCTTTGATCACCATCTCCCTCACAACAATAAAAGCTACCTTCATGAGTTCCACCTAGGTTTCAGGCATTCTGCTAGGTTCATAACATACATTATTTCTGATCTTCACTAATCCCGTACAGTTCGTATTTATCTTAAAATTTTTAAAAAATTGCATTGGTCCAGGCAGCTTAGGTAATTTTGCCATGGACATAAAGCTATTAAATAATAGGGCCAAGATTTGAATAAGTTCTGATTCATCCTATTTCTGCTGAAAAATACTGCTTTTGTTTTTTCCTCAAAAAGTATATTTGATCACATTATTGATTATGCATCACTTCAAGGAGAGACTATGAGAACCAGAATATATAACAATGAAATAGGAATTAATACCTTAATATAATTTGTAAACAGACTTAAAAGGATCTAGTTTCCAAAATAAGACTTCTAAAATTTTGCCTAACAATTTTTAGAAATTGACTCTAAAAATATTATCTCTGAAAAAGTTTATCCTTGCTCCTAAGTTTTATGGCTGGCAAAAGAGTAGAATTTACTTCATGGTATCTAATAGAGAATAAATGATGACAGCAGTCATTTCATTTGGGGAGATCACTACATATAAATGGCAATTATTTATTTATTTGCTGATGAATTATGAAATCATAATTTTCACAAGAAAGCTCCAGGCCCTAAAGTTAAACTTTAAGAACTTGCAGCTTCTCTGAAGGATAAAGTACACCAACGCATCTGTTGGCTTCTTCCACCTATCCAAAAGACATGCCCTCAGGTAAGTCTCAGCTCCTTAATGGAGCCCTTCCCATTTTTCCAAATCATAAACCCAGCATTTCTTAACTGTACCATTTATTGGGGGCACATTTTCACAGTCATGTGTCATCATTTACTTATATCATGTATACAGGGCTGAAGAATGCAATTTATTTGAAGGAAAAAATTATTAGTATCTGTCCCAAACTTAGAGCTGTGCTATCCATTCAATACATACATTTTGTTTGGTTTTACTTTTAATTGGGATTGCATTACACAGATTATGGTGTCTCTAATAAATAAGCAGGCCTTATTCATATCCATCATCTAAAATACCCTCCATTTTTCCCAAGTCTTTTCATGTCCTGTTCAGATACTTCCTTATCAAATTTCTCTGCTCCAAAATATGCCTTGAATGAATTTAGTCTGATTTAGTGAAACTCAACTACCACAGATCCTATCAATGGATGGAAAGTTTGGAATATGCCAATATTTAACTTTTTCTTGTCACACCTCTCTATCCAGCTAAACAGAAAAGCTCTCTGAGACCAAACCAAATCCATGTGCTGTTGATGTCCTTCCACATTATTTATGATGCAAAATGGGTGAGATGAATGAAACTCATTTTACCTTACTGGGCATGCCTTTTCTGCCCACTTTAAAGGTGAGTCAAGACTGATTATTCTTACCCAGTGTAAATGTTCTCAGAACAGACAATTTGACTTAATTTTAAAATTACTTTGTGAGATGCTGTATCAAGTGCTTGATATTGACTGTGCTCTGTGTTCTCATTCTGTAACATGATAAGCAATTTACTCTGGTGCATTTTGTTCTTTATGAGTTTACATCCTTTATAACTGAAGATAAAGTAAATGATCTCAAAGATGAGGATGTTAGAATGTTACATGGAAAGACACTTCAATTGCATATAATAGTTATAGTAAGTTTGCTTTACTTTGGGAGAACCTATTAATTTATCACTCCCCATAAGTAAAATCATTAGTTTTCGACACATACAGTTTATTGATCATCATACAAGTTGCCCTTCTTTTAAAATTCCTCTGGAGAAGTTTTGGAACTAGATGGAAGGGATGGTTACATAACACTGCAATAAATGCAACTGAATTGTTGAATTTCAAACGGTGAATTTTGCTGTGTGAATTTCAACTCAATGAAAAATCAGACTTTGTTATGTGTAGGGTGCCCTTTCTTCTAGAAAGTGTCAATAGGCAATGTGGCAATGAATCTCAGGCAATTATTAACTATGAACTCTGAACTTACGTTAATATTTATATATATGTATATGTGTATGTATATTTATGTATATATGTAGAGACAGGGTTTCACTCTGTCTTCCAGGCTGCAGTGCAGTGGCACAATCACAGTCACTGCAGCTTTGATGTCCTGGGCTCAAGCGATCCTCCCACCTTAGCCTCTCAAGTAGCTGAGACTACAGATGCACACCACCATGCCTGGCTAATTTATTTTAAACTATTATTATTATTATTTTGTAGAAGTAGGGTCTCACTTTCTCACCCAGGCTGGAGTGCAATGATGCCATCATAACTCACTATGGCTTCAAACTCCTGGCCTCAACAATCCTCCCACCTCAGCCTCCCAAAGTGCTGGTATTACAGGCATGAGCCACCATGCCTGCCAATATGTATATTTGAAATAGGGAAACAGGATGGCACTGAACAGTGAAAAGTATTTTAGTATATAAAACAGGACAGAAAGATAAGCCTTTGCTCATGTTCTCATAAGCCTTTTGAATTTAGACTCTCAATGTTATATCCATTTATTATGTTTTTAGTGTGGATGTGCTTCTGAGATCTCTGGGATGAAGTGTTCCACTGGAAATCTGTGCCAAGGATGAGGGGCAAGTGGCAGTCTTCCTGTATTATCTGTGTTTTCTTATTAAACGTGTCATAAACTCAACACCACAATGTCAGCTCCATATGGGCACACACTTGT